ACAGCAGTGTACTTGCTTCCCAACTTTGGAAGAACAGCTTCTGCGAGATTCTCCATTGTTTTCCAGTCTTCTCCCTGGAGGATATAGAGGGCAGCACCAGAAGTGAAAGCATCTGGTGATGCAATGATGACTGCATCAGGAGCCTAAATACCGTAGGTGAATAGAAGATTCTGCACACAAAAGAATCGAAAAACGACGACACATACATGGAAGCTTTTCGGGAAGTATCGCGAAGCATGATGAGAAGAGGCCTTCACAGTGGCAGGAAGGCCGGACAAATGCTTATCCTTCGAATATGCTGAAGCCTCTCGCGAGAACTGCCCTGAAAAACATGGAAGCTTCACTAAGCATCCTGCTGCGTATGGCAGATTCCTTGTCAAAAGACGTGTTAGGGTAACTTTAGAACATGAAATAATGCTAAATAGACCATATTGAATCGAGCGGAATTACGTATGAAACATTATGTGTGCCACGCGGACTGGAACGTGTTAACCCATTGCGTACCGCGGCGTTTTCGCGAAAACGGGCGCCTGTGGCCGACGCCCTTTTATCGACGCGACTCGTGGCGCGCCGACTATAAACAAATGTGATTTAATTCATGCACATATGCTATAAAAATATTGTATATACTTCACATTGTGCAATACTTTTACATGCATCAGTATGATAAGTAAAACTGAATACTATTACGCTTTAAAAAAGATGAGCCGAAAAAATGCAGCAGTTGCTAAAAAGACTTATAAAATCAAAAAGGATTGGAAATGGGGCACAATACGTTTACAAATTGTTCAGTTGCTCTATTTTGCGACCTTTTAGTTCGGTCACAACCTTAGTTTTGGCTTTACTGGTTACAAAGAAAAAAGCGAAGAACATAGTAGCTGGAGAATTTCCTAAAAAATGTCGATAACTTAGCTCTAGCTGGATCCTACAATTTCCCCTTTTCATATTTTCTTCCAGAAGGCTTCAGAAATATACCGACCCACTTGGGTCATAGAACAATGCTAAATAAGTTTAACGAAGCGTGCTGCACCATGTGCAGCACGCGGCCATACAGAGACAAACGAGCGTGCTGCACATGGTGCAGCACGCGGTACGCAATGGGTTAATAATTAGTCTCCATAATTCGTCAAGATTTATTCTTAAAGGCAGTTGGCACGATGGTTTCCTACTTAGCCTAAAATGCTAGTAGGGCGCTGTATAGTGGGGAAATGGCGAAAGAACGGAGTGAAACGGTCAAAATCCTGCGAAGAAAAAGCCTCCGTTCTCAGCAAATGAATCGATTAGAGCGTCAGGAACGGTCGTCCATTTGTGGGCGGGCGGGCGTGGCGGGCGTTTGGGACGTAAAGTTGTGGCTTGATAGGGCCCTTATAAGGGCACCTTCCTCGGGGAAACCGCTATGCAGCGCCTGCCCAGGGTCGCGGAATTCTATCCTGCCAGGAGTATTGATCCTAGTCGTCTTGGGGGATTTATCGTGCCAACTGCCTTTAAGAAAGCATATTGGGGGCGGTTCCGGCCACTTTTTCACCACAACATGAGCCATCCGGGCCACTTGGACTGAGTTTTCAATTACTTATCCGATAGTCAGTTCATTCTAGTACAGATACCCACTTTTTCGAGCATCTGAGACACCTTCTAAAAGATGTACAACTCATGATTCGAAACAATGCCGAAGAAATTTCATTGTACCGAAGACCCCAAATTATTCTAATCGAATCTGAAAGTACATTTCTTGTTGGTACATACTTTTAAGTGGTTTTCATTTTGTATAATATTTACTTGGTAGAAAATTATCATTTTGTACCACACTTTCTAAGCTGCAAATTCCGATTCATCCTCTATGGCTTAGCCTATGACGTA